AAAAAAAAAAAAAAAAAAAAAGGCAGTGGTAATCATGTAGGCATTGATAGTCATTGAGGCCCCTATATTAGTGAACCACATCCTGACCAAAGACGACATTGTGACATGAGCGCCGTTCGGTTGTTTTAGCAATTGTGGTTCCTTCCCAGGTACCCGCACGCTTGAAGCCTTGAAGCGCTGCCGACTAGAAGAAGTACACCAACAGAGATCTGAAGTTCGGGCACAACCCAAAGTGACCCGAAGCTTCTCCGTCCTTTCCTCCATCTCGAGCTTTAGGTTTAGGGTTTTAGGGTCCTGAACCCTAAACCCTAAATCTAAGCCCTAAATCCTAAATCCGAGGGATCAGGGTTCCGGGCTTGGGGTGCTGAAACCTCAAAGCCCAAACCCCCAACAGCCAGCATCTCCACACTTCAGTTCATAAACTCTAAACACCCCCCACAACCCCCCATAATCAGGGGGCCTAGATAATTACCAATACTATGTCGGGGGGGGGGGGGGTATCTTGTTATCATCATAGCATAATGAGCCCCAAAACCCTAGTCTAATTATTAAGGCCCCTATAGTAATCCTAAACCTTACTCCTTAGCCTCATAGACAAGGCAGCTGGTCATTGTCGGCGCGATGTGGACGATCTGGTTTACAATCGAGCATCCCAGTGAAGACGGCTTGGGTAATATACGGGCCTGCATAGCTACCAATACTATAATTACTGTATGATATACCCCCACACCCCATTTTAATTATCAAGGCCCCTATATCAACCTAAGTCTGTCAAGATGTGGGGACTAAGCTAAGAGTCCGGTATTTAGATCCCTTCGTTTCTGAAACTCGCATGGTCCATAATATGTCCCTAAGGGTCCATGTACCCGCATAGTGTGTGTGTTTGTGTGTATACATATATGTAATGAATAGTTGAACAGAAAAGCATACTTACATACAAAAAAAATATGTTGATACTTTGGCCTCAGAGCCGTCCCTACAAAGCTACTTTGGGGCCAAAGTACATATTCTACCTGGGTACATGGACCCTTTGTACCTAAGGGGGTGTGCTTGGCTTCAAGAGCTTTGCATGACGGGTTGTAGGACTCGGCTGCATGAGGCGGATTTCAGGTTGCAGGCTGTGGAGGACTCACTGTGTTGGTTGAAAGTTTGGGGTATGTGTATTAGGGTGTCGGGCTCAGCGATAAGACGAAGATGGCTGATCCCACACCTGGTTGGTGGACCATAGCTACCCGACATCCTAATTTCTGAACTTCCTAAATCCTGGACCCTGAGTCCTGCGACCGTCAACCCTGAGGACCAAGTGTATGGCAGTGTATGGGAAACTTCATTCTAAGCTCTGTCAACCGAAATCCACTGCACAAACTTGCCGATGTTTGAATTGATGCGGTACCACGACTAAAAGCGTCTATACGGTGTGGTTACCTGACATTGTTAAACGGGGCGTTCTTTGTGGTTGTCCATTCTACCAATTCATTCGACAATGGTGTCCAACTTGACTATACTATTTGATGGTGGCTCACGGGTTTACACGATTTAACTACTTTATCCGTTCACCATGCTCCTAAACCCTAAACAACAACGGGGTTCGTTGCTGTAACTTCTACACCTCACCATGAAACACCCTGTACCCTAAACCCGAAGGAAACCGGCCCTCTATCTCAAACCGCGAAGAGCCATTATGCCAATTGAACCTACTAAACCCTAAACCCCAAGCCCTAACCCTTCACCCCAAACCCTAAACCCCAAAGCCTCAACCCCAAGCCCTAAACCCTAAACCTTAAACCTGAGAAGCGAGACCTTAATCTTCAATCGTGGAGAACCCCTAACCCCCCAGGTACCTACTATGCGGGGCCCTAGGGGCTCTAATACCCTATATAGTATAGGTACCTGGGGGGTTAGGGTAAAGCCAAAGGTATTTCGTGCGGACGCTCGCGGAGCTTCTTGGGGCATGCAAGTACCCTCAAACGATCTCCCTAGAAAGTCCCAGTGCGCAAGTAGTACAGGGTGTTGGGGTTTAGGGTTTATAGGATTTCGGGGTTTAGGGTTACTGTGGTATAGTTTTTTGAGTTTAGGGTTTATAGGGTTGGGGGTGTAGGGTTTGTGTGGTACAGGTTTTTGGGTTCAGGGTTATAGGGTTCGGAGTTTGGTTTGTTCATGTTATTTAGGGTTTAACGTGAAAGTCCCCCGTGCCCAAGTGGTATTCGGCAATTTCCAAAGGACAAAATTTCAAAACCGGTTGGGCTCTATGTTGCCCAACACTCCTGCGTGGCAGTTCCTGGATATTCTAAACCCTAAACCCTAAACCCTATAGAAAGGCTATTTCCGTGCGCTTAAAAAGTAGCGCGCCTTCAAATCAGGCATAGACGCAAAGGGATCGTTTGAGAGCACATGGCACTAACCCATCAACTTGTTCAGTAAACTTCAACCCTAAACCCTAAACCCTAAACCCTAAACCCCTAAACCCTAAACCCATAACCCATAGCCTCATACAACCTGGCCCTGGAAGCTCGCACTGACTGACAGCCTTAGACCCGAGAGGGCTAGAGTGCAGAACCCTTTCACGATACTGCAGGGGCCTAAATGATTACGTAGCTATACTATTTTGGGGGTTCCTTATTATAAGTATAGTCTGATGGGCCCCAAAGCCCTTTTCCAATTATTTAGGCCCCTATATTACAGACTTACAGAACCCCAAGGCTCAACACGATCCAACACACTTTAGAAGCCGGGTTCCAGGCTCTAAATGTGGGTAAACTTCCATACACACATATATATATATATATAATTCTGATCCTGGAATGGCACAACGTCATCGACAACGCCTGATCAGCAGAAACCTCATCGCGATATGAGGACTCCAAGTGCAATATGGCACCCCTACTTAGCCCTACGTTTCAGGAAGCCAACAGACCGTTGGAAAGCTCTTCAGAAGTCGACAAGACTCTTTTCTCAGAACCCTAAACCTAAACCCTACACCCTACACTTTAAAGATCTGAGTGAAGGCTCATGGTGCAAAAGAGCGACACCGAAGCGTCTTTGCAGGCCAGTACTCTTGGTCTGGAATGACTGGGCCATGTGCCGTGTTAATGCGCATGTTTGCGTGTTTGCGGTGTTTAGCTACATCCTACAGACATACCCATGTGCTTATACTTGGCCTGGCCATAGAACATGTTTATATACATCAAAATACATCTACACCAACTAGCCCGAAACAACACCACCAGCACCACCGCCGCCGCCATCGCCACCGCCACCGCCACCGCCGCCTGCGACTGCGATTGCGACTGCTACTGCTACTGCTACTGCTGCTACTACTACTACTTGCTCGGATCATGATTATGATGATTGTTGCAATTATTGTTAATAGGTGTTGCCGGGGAACATGGCTTCATTTCGCCCAGCCGGCTGCTGAAGGCTAGGCTTGTGGGGTTGCGGTGCATTGCGGCTTCCTTAAGCCAGCACGACCCCGTTGAAAACGAAGAGGTCTGGTTTAGGGCTTAGGATTCGAGCGTTCAGGGTGTACCCTAAACCCGAAGAGGAACCCGGAAATCCCAAAAACCCTGAGGCTGAAAAAAACTCCAACAGCCGCAGAAGCGTTGAGGGGGGAGTAATGTAGGGTCCAAGTTAATTACCCATACTATTTTGGGGGTCCCTGATTATACTTCTAGTATAGTGGGCCCCAAAACCCTATTCTTATTATCAAGGCGCCTACACCCCAAACCCTTATAGTAGCCTTTATCGAACCCTTGAAGGAAAATCCTAAAGAAGCCCCAAAAAACCTATTCTAGTTTTTAAGGCTCCTAGAGTCCTAGAGTATGCGAGGCCGCCCGAGCTGTGCTGGCCAGCCAGTGCGATGCCGAAGCCTTCCTCCGAGAGGCTGGGAGGATCTAGGGTGTTTGGGGTTTAGGGAGGGAGGGTTTAGGGTTTAGGGGTTCCTATAAAGGGGTTTAGGGTTTAGGGGTTCTTTTAAAGGGGTTTTAGGGTTTAGGGGCTTGGGGCTTAGGGTTCTAATGGGCTTAGGGAGCAGCAGATTGGGGCTGCGACTGCCGTGTAGTGTTTCGCATTTCAGTTTCTTGGGTGTAGGGTCCGGGTTTGCAACTTTTGCATTTCAGCGTATTTTCTTCTCTTGATGTTTGCCGGGTTATCAGGGCTATGCGACCCTATAGTTCCTATCCGACTATGTCTAGTTTTATATGAAGGTGTCTTCTACGTAGCACAAGAATGTCCAAATCCGAAACTCCTAAAACCTGACCCGAAGCCCTAAAACCTGACAGCACCTGCAGCCTCCTCCCCACCTCCCAGATTGAAACTCGTTTTTTTTTTTTTTTTTGGGGGGGGGGGGGGGGGGGG